TCTCTCTCTCTCTCTCTCTCTCTCTCTCTCTCTCTCTCTCTCTCCCTTTCTCTTTCTCCGTGCTCTACATATATATTATAGATCAAAATCACCGGAAAAGACGCGTGCGTATATTCGCAGCGTATATTCGCAGCGTCTATCAGCGACGGAGCAGTCCAGAGAATACGCCGAGCTTTCCACAAAAGCTTACTCAACCGGCAAATTCATTTCCTTTGCACAAAACTCACACGCGAATCGAAGACACACGCGTGAAATACCGTCGCCAACACGTATGTACACTTGGGGGCGTATCTTCCATGGGCAAAGGATAACGTAGCGCACTCACCTGCGAGGATAAGCAGCCACATAGCGAGAACAAATGAGTGACGGAGCGGCGAGCGAATGTTCGGTAGAAGCAGTCTCCTAGTGGCTTTATAGACCAAGGGAAAAGGCCGCGCCCGCAGCCCGTAACCAGGTGGGGTTGTTCTATTCGCCGCTTTTCCGCGACGTGACGTGCACCAAAGTATACATCAACTTGTATATACGCAGGGCTATATCCATTGTCAATGGATTCGTTCTTCATTTAATTTTCTTTACTATCTTGTTCTTAGATTTCGAAGTAAATTACCATCTTACGAAGACGAAAAACAATGACTGTCAATTATTGAAGCGCTAACACACAATGTCAGTTGCAACCAATGAACGACCAATGACATCAAGAGCAAGACGAAATAGACTGAGGAGAACGTGGCACAAAGAACGTTGCAAGTATAAGAGCCAAACTACTGTCTCGACTCAAAGTTTTACAAGATTCGGTTCTTGAAATGTAACGCACTTTCAAGTCCGGTTCGCAGGAAAGTGGATGGAAGTGGGACACGAATGATTTATCCGGACGAGCTATATTTTTAACACAGATGGGCAAAGTTTTAAAAGCAAAACTACTTGAAATTAGTTAAGGTATATTAGATTTTACAAAAAATACAATATGGAAACCTAAATTTTAGTTAAATTTTAACTAAACTTTAGCTTTAGTTAAATTTTAGTATCAGAGCAACTAATGAGTGCTATATCGAAACCCGTTAATGGACTAAATTTCCTTAGATATAACAGCAAAAATATCAGTTGCATATATGTCGAACTATAATTTTCATTAGTTATGATATGGAATCTGTGCCAACAAATCTGTCGTGCTATAATGTCAAACTTTACTAGTTATACAACCTTATGCAGCTATGCGGCTTGATTACTTTAACATAGTAAACTGACGGTTCGTATATTACAGCTGTGGATTTGCTAGGCTAGCGAGGTTATAACAACAGCAAATCTTTTTTCCCACGCAGGCCTTTTGTTTTTATAGTTTGATTATAGGTTTCACAGTCATTTGTTTCGTTCGAAATAATATCAAAATGAACAAAGTCATTCAGATACAACAGAGATATCAATTTCACTTGATATGTAAGAGAAGTGGCTTCGGAATCCGGTTACCCGAGTAAGGGGATTCAAACAATATTCTCAGAATTCATGATTTATTTTGAAAAGTTTGAAAGTGATATTATTTTGAAAATTTGTTGAAATTATGGCTCTATTTTATGCCACGTAGTTAACTTATAGTATTAAAGCACTGCTTTGTAAGATGTGTCTGTAAGAAGGGAAACGAACGCGCGCGCACACTAGGATAGATAAAAACAATTCGCATGCCGACCTTTTCTTCGCAATTTTCACGCAAGTGTTGATAGCCATTGTCTTTAGCGAGGAGTTTCCCATTTTTCGCAAAGACTCGCGTTACACGTGATGTCACAGCTCGCATACGAAAAGAACGCGTTACATCAAGACTATGTGAAATTTTTCACGTTAATTGAAATCACTCGATCTCGTTACCCATTTTATTTGACCGAAATACATAAATTTGTTATTTGATTCGCATCTCCAACAACGGTGTTTTCTCGTGTATATCACCGATAACTCTTTTCTAATAATGAAACATATCGAACAAGTTATATTCGCACGATGCTCGTGCGCACGCGAGACAACACACGATACGAATATGCGGTTGCCTTGCTCGGTATGAACCGTCGTGGGAAAGGTAATCTCGGTCAGAAAAGAGAAAAGCAACCTGGATATGTTGCACGAATAGTAGATATACCCGAAAATACTTTCAATCTGCCACTAAAAGATTAATTTCCCGATCGTTTTTCCTTTTTAGTGATCTAGTAATCAAACAAACAAAGTGTTTCGGCAACATTTGCAAGAGCTTGAATCAAGACCGTGGCAGGATTGAGTAAGTTAATATATTTTTTAACGAAGTTAGCTGAACTGTTTTGCGCGAGCTCAGTATTCTATACAAGAAAAGCACATTGGCGCTCAAAGATACGAAAAAGAAATTCTGCTGGCAATATTCTTGATTTGCCTTATCTTACATTCGCATTTAAACGCAATCGTTACAATATTTTGACAAATTATTTTAACTTGTGTAAAGAAAAGTTAATAAATTAAAGTTAACGCGTTTTAAAATATTTATGCGTTAAAAGTTACTTATTCGAAATTGTTGACATTCGAAATTAACTAAGTTAAGTTAAAAGATGTTAACTTTTCAACTCTTTAACTTAACGTGTAACTGATTAATTATATATCATTTAATTCTGGACTATGGGTAAATTGAAGTCCTCTATCGCTATTTATCACGTATCACAATGTGATGGTGATAACGGTTGTTTCTTTTTCTAGTCTCCATCTCGTTTAAAAATATATTCACAATATATTCATACTTACCTTTTATTTACTTAATCTAGCACGTAAGAAGATATCCAAAGTAGAGTAAAAAATATCTAGAAAATAAATACAAGTAAACAACTAGAAATTGTGTTACACATACAAGCACAATGAAATTACGATGATTATGCCGAGATACACGATGGCTTATATACCGAAGCGGATCATGCTGGCATCCGATCTAGATACATTGACGATTCTTGATCCTCTAACGAAACTGCGCGCGTAGCGGCGCAAACGAGCCTTCGCCGATGATGCCGCGGCTCGACCTCAGTCCCGCGTCACAATCTCACGCTGTTTATTCGCGGTGAGCGAACGCGTAACTCACTCATAATAGAGCCGTGATTGCGCGGGTTCAGGCAGGTTCAGGTAGTAACAAAGTGGCAAGAAATGTGCAACTAATGGCCGAACGAGCATTTTATAACATTTTCTCGGTAATCGTTTCACGTAACGAGAATGTCGTCAGCGATGGAACAATATCTTGCACCGATGCAACATATTATATTTTAATGTTAGTCATATATTAATCTTCTGCCAGCCAAATCTTACCCGCGAAGATTTCCCGCGGTACGTTACATAATAAATCAGAGTGTGTTAATCTAAGAATTAAGATCCAAGCATTTTCGCACGCAAATAGGTCAAGAACTATCTAAACAACGCTCTGCGTCTAGCATATGACTAACTGAAAATATAAGATACTTTTTTCTTGATGTGAAATGAAATTTTACGCAGCAGACTTTGATCGTTTAATCGCTCAACTCACAATATCGCGAAAAAAGATTTGGTTGGATTAATCAAATATCTGATAGTGAGATATCAACGAAACAGAATTCCAATTTACCAGAATTCTGTTCAAGTTAATAAGATTTTCGATTAATCAAACAAGACTTCTGGTTAATTAAAATTCGAAACTGTTCAACTTGAATAGAAATCGTGTTGACTTAAACAGAGTTCTGGTAACTTCAATCGTAATTCTAATCGATTCATATTTCACCAGAAGATTTTGGTAAATCCAACCAAATTTTTTTGTCCGTGCATGCTTTAGTACAAACGTCATTTTTCGCTCGCACATGTACAGATATTCGTTAACAAAGATACTCACGCATCGAAATTTTCTGTAGTTGTTCTTGTTGTTTGAAACGAGACCATTTAATAATTCTATCTTAATTGCATCTTCATAAATACTACTACTAGATAGAACGTGGAAATCCTCGTTTTTACTCATGTTGCCAGGCGACTGTAACAACGCGAGAAAGCCAGTGTAGAAAACATTTCAGAATCCACCTCGGAACGTTAATACAGCGCGAATCGAGGCGAGACAAGGAGCTCTAAACAAGTCGCATTATTTCCACTACAGTGTTTTACAACTCCGCAACAATCTTCGTATTGCGCGATCTCGGTTGACAGTCGAACAAATATAATTGTCTCAATTTCGTGATTGCGCGAGACATGCATCCTCTTGTCGCGAATGTGATTTGTACTGGAAGAACAAATAAAAAGTAAAAAAAACAACGCAATTTAACGCAATTTTGTAGCAATTACTGGACTGGTAATGTTGACTTTTGTCTAAATAACTGAAGAGTAAAGCTATTTGCGATTCCAATCAAGAAGTAGTGCTTTTTCTGCAGTTACGTGCAAAAGATGCGCAAAACGTAACGCAATTTATTGAACAGAAACAAAACAGGAAATGTACAAAAAAACTATGAAATTGATTATTAACCAAATCTACTACTCATAAAATGGGTAGGTTTGCTTTAGTAGTATTTTATTTTTGCGCTTTCCAATTGAAAAACGTTTTTTAATTGAAAAATTCAAATGCTGATGAAAGTCATGGCGCAGAAAATCTTTAGTGCGTGATACATATTTGTCATCTTTTACGCGTGGCATCTTTCACAACCATTAACCAGTTAGCTGTGTTGCTCTCTTTTAAAAGTGTGTACCTAAATTGTATTGCATGACGAGTATACTCGCATCATAACGCTAAAAATTGCCATTTCTTCATGACGAGTATACTCATCATACACAGCTAACTGGTTAAATAACATACATCTTGTCATACATTTATCGATAAAGTTCTGAATCTGAAGTATCGTGACAGTTTTTATTTGCATCATTACCATCGGCATAATTTCATGTTTTCTCATCGCAATGAAATTCTGTGTTATCAATGCATATCTCAAATTTTTATTTTGCTTACTTTCATTTCTAACACTGGTTGTCATCTTTGTTACAGGATTCGATATTATTAAATGTTTTATTTCGCCCAATCTTTTTCTTGCTCTATAATTTTCTACATGTTCATTCGTTGCTCGCGCAATATTTTAAGCTCCTTTTAATAATATAAAAATAATACATTTCAAATATATTCACAATAGATATTAAAACGTGCAGATTATAAAACTAAATTAAAATTACTGTTTTTTAAAAAAAATTGGATATACATCACATATTGTAAACATATTGTAAACTGCTTCAATCACTGAATAAAAATTGGCTCCGTCAAGTTTTTCTCCAATTTCTACGCAATATTTTCGTAACCAGTGAAAATGTATTAACACTAGACAATAGCTGGATGGATAGCTTTACGTAAACACAAAGTCTCTTGAACGTATAGTTTGCCTCTTTTGTAAATACAGCCTAGTCCTCTCGTCACTGATTAAAATATAGCGAAATAAGCGTATTTATTATTCTAACGAGCTTACTTTATCTCGACAGTTCTCAACGTGCCGATATTTATGCTATAAAAGTAATTAACAACTAACATAATTAATGTAAAATTAATTAATATAATTAACTTTCCAATATGGTTTGTATATCGACATCTACCCATCTCTCATCTTCATGGATGCTTTGACTGGAGATGTAACAAGAGACTATAGCTATTTCGACCGTCTGACCCATATCTTGCTTTGGCCTTTATAATCAACAATTAGGTATAATGTTATACCGCAGTATTATCGAAGACGACCATAAGTTTTCTTACGATGTAATCGCCATGAAATGGATAATAAAAATAGTCGTTACGTCGAGCAAACCGTAACCGTGAAAACGCGTAACCAGTTAAACGCGACTTTCATACGCGTGTATTGCAATAAGCGTGATTACGCAATACGTCGCATCCCCATGTGGATTCCGCGATGTTGATTCGACCCTTTAATCGAAGAAATGCTAATAAGGAAAAATGTCGTGTATTAATCAATAATTAAGTATCATGTCTATTCACCGCGAAAATCCTGATTGATGATGTGAGCAGGTACACACGTTCTCGAAGTTTCTGCGGTTTGATTGTAAAAGTAAAATGTTGCAACTATTTTGCGAATTTACTCGATCGATTTCAAGTATCGTTTTGTGAACGTATTTTGTAGAAATTTTGAGCGTCTATTTTTTCGCTTTTGACGTTATAAATCAAAACGGCTGCAGCGAGGAAACAGTAGTTTTAAGCGAAATAAAAAAAAATAAATTATAAATGTTGATATCCGTTGTGTTTAAGGTACATATAGATAAGGTGATAAAATTATTTATATACAATGTTTTGTTTTATGGTGAATTCTTTTGTTTGCCTCTTTCCACTTTGTTTTCTTCACTGAAACATTCCTCAATTTCGAATATCGCTTGTAACCGAAGTTCGCCTGTAGCACGGTTAAACTAATAATAAACATAGTGGCTGTGATAGTTCCGCTTGTCAATACAGCATTTAAGATATCGAGTAAAATCGCGGAGAACTTTACCATTCCATGCGACCTATTTGTCGTTACCTACTTCATTATTAGCCTCGAACGTCCTAGAGAAAGGGCGACTCTTATCCGCTTTACAATTATGCCGTTTCAGTGTGCGTTCACAGCCTTTCGATAACGAAAGTGAACCAAGTAACGTCCTTGACTTTACTTGCCAGTCAACGCCTGTGCAAGTACTCTAGCTGTTTTTCACAAGAGCACACTACCAAATTTTCGCTTCTCGATATTCTCGATACAACGGTATGTTCGATTAAATTTGTAATATTTAGCCAGCAATAACAGTATAATCGTTCCTCATTTGATAATGTAAAATGTATGTAAATTTAACTACGTTCCCTTGAGATTATTTCAAGAGAAAAATTAATAAGTTTTAGACTACGATAAAGCTATTTGAATCTATCGAGATATCACTACAACTATTTCGTCCAACCGAATTGCCGATAATACCGTATGCAAGCAACGTTCGCTCTACATTAGTACTTGCGACTTTCATCCTCTTTGGAGTGTAATTAACGGTAATATATACATGTGTGTATTGAGACATGACACCCATGAATCGCTGATTTCAAGAAACATATGCCAATTATACGCGGAAATCAAAAACAGCGGGAAAGAGGGAGTGTCAAGAGGGAAAGACTTTTTTTTACTTGAGAACTTTACCGGTAAAACATAATATATTTTCTGCAAAATATATATTTCATTAGTTGCATAGAACTACAAATACTTTTACGCAATGAAAGTAAATTAATTGCTCGCATAAAAAAAAATTCAAAAATAGACATCTCTCTGTTAACGTAAATATTGGCCTGATATAAAGATTCTACAGCTTATTCATTCTGAATGTGTATTCATTTCGTTCAGAAAAATTTCAGAGAACACATTGTTCTATACCTTTACAACTAAATTCAAAAACTTAAAAATATTCGAAAAATTTACAAAGATATATTTGCGTCGTTGTTTTTTGTTAAATGTCTTTTTAACTGCTTAAAAATTTTTGAATTATTCATTTGTACATCTAATATGTGCTATAGATATAAACTATAATATGTAATATTAACAATCACAAAATTCAAAGACACAAGAGAACTCTAGTATTTTCTGACATTACCTCCTTTATCCCTCACCTATCCTTCTATTCTCTCTAGCTTCCTCTGGCTTTTTCGTTCTCTTTCCTACATTTCTACGTCATATTCTTTATATTTCTATGTACTTACAATCTAATATTCTTACGATATTAGAAATCGGGGCAGAAAAAACAAATTAGATAGGTAACTATTTGTAACTGTAGGAAAATAAATAATAAGAAAAAAATCATCATTGACTCAATCACAGTCAAGTTTCCGCCTCGATCTTTAAATTCGTTAGAATATCAGAATAAAACATAGAAATATTATACCCAATTATTTCATGTCCTGTAAGGCTTTTAAGAATTTTTTACCACTTCGTTCGTATTGAGCTTACAATCAGTGCAATCGATTTCCGCGTAAGTTTTCCACGTGATTCACGCAAATATTTTTGAAATTACGATATTTTCTGCCAATACGTCCGTAAGTATATACACAAGTATATCGTAGCATTTTTCGTTTTCGATAAATTTAACAAACGTCTTGTTATTATCGTTTTGGTATTAGCGTTTAAATTTTATTACGTTGCACTTTTCTATCATTTTACTCTTTAGGCCAAGATGTATTTTAAGCTTTTTTATATTTAACTGCTCGTAAAATTATCGTGTAAACTCACACATGTATGTGTGTTTATACATATTACTTTTTTACAAGAAAAGTGAACGGTTCTTCCGATTAATCTCTCACGAGCCAATCTCTCTCTCACCGTACTTCCTCTAATACCTCGTATACTCTCTCCTTTCTACCTTTCACTATCTTAACACTCGCCTTAGTGTCCTTCGGCGAATGCGGTCGACACTATCTCTACTGACGTGAATGAAGATTTAGCGTGGATAAGTTATCGATCGAATGTGCATGGAAAAAAAGATTGAATTAACCAAATATCTGGTCGAATATGAACGATCCAGAAATTCCGATTGAAGTAACCCGAATTCTGTTTAAGTCAACCAAAAATCTTGTAAACTTAAACAGAATTCGGGTTACTTAAATCGGAATTTCTGGATTGTTCATATTCGACCAGATTTGGTTAATTCAACCAAACCTTTTTTTCCGTGTGTCGAAAAGTATTTCGTGTTATCGCATAAAACAATTTGTACTGTTTATTTGCGAACCTTTATTACTAGTATCTTTTGCCTTTATTATTTCAATATATAAGAGTATGCAACGTTCCATTTACTTTATTTATTATTAGAATCAAAGATTTTAGTTTTAGGCGCTAGAGATGTTTTACAATTCTTCTACTGTGTCTGTAAGGTTCTGAACCGAAATAATCAATAAAAGAAATATTAATTAATCAATATGATTTTAGACGATTACAGTGGTGTAACCATTGTAATTGTACTTGAACTGTAGCACACATTTTGTATAAAACGCACTAATTAATGCATGTTTGTACAAAAAATAATAAATTTATATATATATATATATATATATATATATATATATATATAGAGTGTGTGTGTGTGTATTTGTGTGTATGTAAATACACACACACGTACGCACGGGTATATTAACTTGTCTTGTTCTTTTGTTTAAATAGCTAATTACACTTATAAAACAATGATCTTCATTCTTTCTCGGATCGCGTCCTTTGTTTCCTTTGGTACATATGGATTTTTTAATGGATCTGCGTTTAACCTACAAACATAGAACGCACGTTAGAATAAAATACACAAAATGACGATATCTAATATGATATCTTTTTCAAATTATTGTTATTTATTTCAAACGTATATATCTATCAAAAAATTGGATTATGAAAAATTTACTTGTAAAGAGACGGTGCATTAGCGCAATTAACGTTGTACCACCAGTCGCATGCAAACTCGTGCTGATTAAAAAGTGTTCCATTGGTACATAAGAAAGAGGCACCCTGATCGCCTTCACGTCCGTCGTGACAAATATGATATGCCTGAAACAATATAAAATATATAAAAAAGTGTATGTGTGTATATATATATATATATATGACAATGTGTGTGCACACATCAATTTATCAGTGATATCAAACATGGAATTGTAGTTGAGTTTACCTCTCTAAACACGGTCTATTTATAAAATAGTTTGTACAACATGGGTATTAATATTTAAAATATACGTGCGCGAATAAGCGAAATTATTAGCGTACGTTAGTTAAATGAAAATAATTTATGGCGGTTTTCTGTTACATAAATATTATAATTGAAGACTTAATGCGAGACAAGTTACGCAAGTTTACTGAAAATAATATAAGCGATGTGAAACAGTAGGAAGAAGTCAGGTTTAAGGAAATACAAAGAAAGCAAATGATATTCTTGAGAAGGAAAGTTTAGCGCTCTGGAAATCAAGTTGCGATGACGAAGCGTTCGAGTCACGTAACGTCATTTATGTCAATGCGCACTTTATTGTTCATAAAACAATCACAGTTCACTTTACTGTATTTCCATAACAATAGTCGCTGTAAATTTTAGATTGCTTATTAGCGGAAATATAGGAAGAAAGGAAGAGATATATATGGGCATATGTATAACAATAATAATAATGATAATTATAATGATAATAATAATAATAATAATAATAATAATGTCATCATGAGAAATGAATATTTGAGACAAATACGCAATGGAAGAGAAAAATGACTCAACATTGAAAGCAAGAACTCGATCGAGTCTTTCATTAACTCAATGATATTGACGACTGATATTCCCACGGGGGGAAGGGAAGAGGGACAATCGCTTCTAAACGTTGCTTCATAATTGTACACTCTGATAAATCAATTATTCGTTCGGAATAGCAGTCGTGCGCGCGCAATTGGAGAACACTAGTTTCAAATGAGAAAACAAATTAGATATGTTAAAGCGATGAAAAAATTTGGATTAAATTAAAAATCGTCATATCGCCATATGAAATATATAGGATGAATTACTTAATATTAAATTCTAAAATAACTTTTTTTTATATTATTTTTTTATATAGAGAAGAATATGTAAGAAATAAATTGTGCGGTTGAAAGGGTTTTGCAATATTTATCTCTTCTAACCACACAATTTATTTCTTACACATTTTTGTCTAATATAAAAAACAACAAAGATATTTTAGAATTTAATATTAGGTGACTCATTCCGTATATAAAGCAGTTCTACTAAGCAAGAAGAAACAAAAGTTGTAGAAATTACACATAAAAATTATATTTTGCCTTTTTAATGACTATCACAAATATAAATGTTCACATCGTGAGTGCATCGCGCGAAAAGATAAGTATCTTCTCCGAAATTACAAAGATTATCGAAATCGAAGCATCGAGCGTATCTTGACACACCGAGAGAGACTGGATTACGACAACAATTTGCCAAGACTGTTTCCTCGCGGAGTTTGTCTTTCACCGAGGCGAGATCGGTCCTTACTCCCGCGTTGCCTTGAGGTTTTAATAATGCCAGCCCGTTCTCTTACATAATAAATCCGCTCTACTTCAGCCGCTCAAACGAGTCATTCGGGTAATTTTTCCTCGCTTTGTGAGCAGCGTCATTGCGCTTTCGTATGAAAAAATATGATAAACGCATAAAATATATACCATCCGTGTGTACTCACTCGAGAAGAATTATTTTGAAGAATTAAGTATACAATTTATACAGTAGTTTCGTGCATGCACGAATATTTCGTGACGAATATCGCATTTTCAACATTTATTTTCAACATTATTACACTTATTCGAATGTTATCATCGTGTACGAGAGAAATGCATTTTCATTACTCTATCTCAATTTTAGTTAAAACATATAAGCTTCCCTGTCTATCGATTTTATGTTAAGAAAGTCAGCATACTTTACTTGTACACTTTCATTATTAAAGTCCTTGATACGTAATACCTTCTTAATGTTTCATACTTTGCACCTCAACGCCGTACTTTCCAAAGTTGCGATATAAGTTACCTGAGTTATATGTCTGCTTCTAACGTCAGTAATTTGATTTAACTTTAATCTGGGTTCTTGTCGTTTATGTATTTTTTCATTGTTATGTACTAACCTGCTCAACCCGCTCGAATTATTAGATTTAACGTTCAATTGTTAATAAATTGAGGTATACATCCCATAACTTATAAATATATTTATATCATAAGATGACCACTAAATGAACATCTCTCGATTATCTATTTATAAATAATACAGTTTGTACTAAAATATAACTTATTAAACAAGAAAATTAACGTTAAATTTGCAAATCGAAATGAATAAAGGAAGAAAGAGAGAGAGAGAAATTTAGTCACTGATATATAAGTTTTTCATCTGTCAACTTGAAATATTAAAAAAATAGAAGTAACGTTTACCTGACAACCAGTTTCTACGTTTGCGTACATTCCTGGTATTACCGGTACGTGTGCGCAGGAAAAACTCGTTGGTGGCACTCTGTGATAAATAGGAAAATCTATCCCGGGTATTCCAGGAATCTTACTAAAATCCTGATCGCTTTTGGGCTCTTCTTTCACCACGATAGGTTGACGAAATCCTACTACCGGTTGGAAATGTTGATATTCGTCGTAATAATCATCTCCTGGCAGTGGATCCTAGTTCATTTGGAAAAAAAATCAGTGATAGATTAATTAAATTCCACAACACGCGTACATACATCCAATTTAGCTATAATTAATGTAAAATGATTTTAAAATTTACAAAAAATTAAAGATAGGAAAATTAAAAATTAAAAATTAAAAATAATATCCCAATCCCAAGAAACATATATAAAAGATGTCACACAAAATGTCACTTTTTTTTTACACAAATATATCTGAACTCTCAAATGACCAATTACACGAGCCAGATAATATTTTAATTTATATGTAGTATAAGTTTCAATGCATCTAACAAATTAAATCTAATTCACAAACAAATTTATTTTGCTCCCATAACAACTTCCAAAAATATATAGAGACATATATAAAGAGGTATATTTAATATATACCATATACAAAGAGTACTATATATTACTATTCTTCCAAAAACGTATACTTTTTTAAATTACTGGATTTAAATATAATTTATACATGTAAATAATTAATTTTTTTTGATAAATATTGTCTGGATTTTTTATATAAATATTTAGGCTACAAAAATAACTACATATTTTGACTTTTCAATTTTTGGCTACGTGAAAGAAGTAGTTAAGGACATATATAATTTTTTATCAAGCGATAAACTTCCTCAACAGATCGTTGATACAAAATCTACAAAACTATTATTATCGTCAGAAAAGCGAAACAAAGTACAGCGGCAAATTAGGCAAGTGAAGTGCAAATTATCAGGAGTGATAGGAGCATTTAACATCAACATTTCAAACGAGGTAATAAACGGTAGTAATACGTGTAGTAATGTAAAAAGTAATCGTTTCCAAGTACGAACCATACTCGGCTTTCACAATTTAGAAAAAGTTGGAAATCCAGCAAAGTGTAACAAACCTTTGCAAAATGCTACCTTGATTGATTCAAAGTCAAGGACATTTTTTTTTACATTACCCTTGTGTCACCATTGTATAAGGAAGTTGACAAATTCGACGCAACTTGAATCAAACCGGGAAACTAGAGAGCGTATCGATCAATTTCAATGTGAAAGTGTACTATAAAATATGGGAGACATATATGCACGTTATTATTCGCAAATAAACATCGTGAAATTAAGTCAAATTGTATCAAAAGCAAATTTATTAATTCGTAATTGTCCAAGTTACGCTTTGTAGGATGCGATTTTTAAATCCGTCCTTGTCTATATATAAGATAGGAAAAACGTTACTGCAACTTACCAAGCGATTCGAAAGATCTCGTAGCTTATAGGTACAGATATAGGTTTAGATAAATTGTACATTTGAGTATCTTTTCGATACGTGACTATCCCTGTTGGGTAAACCCGAGATTTACCTGGACCCGGATCTGAATGAACGAAGCGGGCACTGCCAATACGGCGAGCAGGAGTGCAGTACAGACACAGCAACTTCTTGGCATGACCGCACCGAGTTTGAATATGAACGAAACTGGACCAGTTTCCGCTGCGAGACTGTGCTAGGTGTACGAGAAATTATGTCACACAGAGAGAGAAAGTGTAAAACGCACGCAACGCGAGACTCCGTGCGCCCCTTCCATTATCGTCTTGAGAGAGGGACGTATGTTGTCTAATTGCACCGAAACAGTAAAATAGAGATTTAGACTAAATATAGACCATTGAAATTTTCCTATTATATATGTGTGTGTGTGTGTGTGTGTGTGTGTGTGTGTCACTAAGATTCTATATGTCTACATGTAATCAAAGTTTTATTAACCCTTTGAGTCATACATTTTATTTCTCGATAAAATTGTTTTGAATTTGTCATATAGAGGTCACTGATTACGAATTTCGAAGCAAAAAGTCAAAATTCAAAATGGCAGATCCAATAAGACAAATTTTCAAAATTAGTAATTTCGTCTTACTCGATAATAACATTTCCTCGATATGAAGAAAATATATCTGTGTTTTTGACAAAAAAACTTGTAGTAAAAATATTATCAATACATCAATAGTTTATTGTACTGTTAATTTTGCTGAATAAACTATTTAGATTCCTAACTGTTAACCTTAGTATAATTTTTACTTGAAAAAAAGTGTTTTTTTTTGTACTTTTATCTATTTATAGTAATTTAACAGTTAACAAATTATTTTTAGTTATATTTACTTCCCTATTTTTATATACTATATATATATATATATATATATATATAATATAGTAATAATATATCCAACTATCTCTAAGTTAGTTAAAATCGCCAAGAGATGAAGAAAAAATTTGCTTCTTTAAAGAAAAACGCTTACGTCTCATTATGGCACACAAAGTGTTAACTAAAACAATATTACAAATTGAACATGAGTCGGTAGATCGTTTGGATAGTTTGCGCACGCGCGCGCACACTCGCACATATACACATTGACACGAACAGAAACTTTATTACAAATAATGGTTTGTACACATCCAATTTAGCTATAATTAATGTAAAATGATTTAAAAATTTACAAAAAATTAAAGATAGGAAAATTAAAAATAATACGCCAATCCCAAGTAATAAGTAAACAAATAATAGTTTGTACAAAATAGTCTATATTTTAATTGATAACGCGCTTTATATGGCTAAATATATGACCGTTGTGAAAATTCTCTCATTCTTTACTTCAACAACCAAACTTAAACTACTTTAAAAAGCCACTTATATTGATTATTATATTTTCGAAATATAAAACGATAATTGTGATAAAATTAAACAAAATTCTACAAGCGCAACACCTGTCTCCATAGTTTTTACCCAAATTTCTTCAGAAGAAGAATGCACTTTTTCAACTTTTGATCTAACAAGAGGTAGATGACGTATAAAGCTCATAAAATTACGTTTCCACTGAGCGAAAATCGGACCAAGCAATCGACACATGAGAGGTGGATTTAGAATGTCCTGCATATACATCAATTTGTCTTGTGTGTGTACACAACTTCGCATAAAAAAATAGATTCTTTTCTTAATCTTACGTCTCCGCCCAAGAGGCTGATATGAGAATCAGCATAGTTCAAGCATCCTCTTCTTATTTCTACAAGTTCAATGAAAAAAGATGGTTTAGTATTGACCTCGATTTTACTGCCCACACCGCACATGGTCGAACCACTCGCAGCGTTTGCTAGTTTCGCAAAACGCTGTCCCTGGTGGACACAGAGAGGATGCCTTCGACCATTCTGAGCAATTATGAAACACCTGTAAAACATAACAAATCGACGATTACACACATATAATATACACGCGAATAGCAGTTACGTTGGCATTACGTCGAATCGATAACAATTATATCACTCGGCAAGGACACGATATTAACACATATTAACAATTAACGTTTATGCTCACAGTTACTCAAGTACATTTTATATAGATAACTCGTAATTGTAAGGTAATATCCTTTTACATTGGAGTCGTGCGGGAAGATCGAAGCGGCAACGCTCGCGGAATCGCGATTTTGCAACACGCTGCAATTCAGTCAGCCGCTTCATTAAAGGAGCAACTAGAACATAATGGACGAACGTTGATCTAGATCACACTCTCGCATGGCGCGTAGAAATCCGGGTGAATCGTACGATTCGTCATGATGGATTTCGATATCGCCCATTGGATCGGATATAATGTCGTGACACGAGAGGATTAATAATACATCGTTGCCGTGTGATTTCGCAAAATGTCGTGATATCGTGAATGATAAGATCTGTAGATTTGCGCGCGCATGAGTAAAATTTGCAACACATCAATTATTATGCATCGATTATTGTTAGAGTAAACCAATCCAGAAAAAAAAATAGATAAATAGGCAGAGAATATATTTGTTAATTAAGGAATAACAAAAGTCAACTCTTTACTTGGCATTTGGTTTCGACGTCGGCGAACATTCCCTTCCTTCCTCTGCAGGAAAAATTAGTTTCCGGTATATTAGTCAAACTCGTGTAGGCAGAATTGTGAGAGTTGTATGACCTAACATTCTGCTGAGGTGTTAATTTCGAATCTGGATATTTTCGGTTCTGCCGTTGGTTCCTGTTGTTGCTTTTTGAGTTTACATGCCTTGAAGATCGTCCGTGGAACTCATTGAGAAATCCTTGATAATCCGTGATAATCTAATAATTAAAGATGCTTTGATTAATTTAATCCTTAATAGCACAGTTTATTGGCGTTACATTGGCCCAGTTCATTGGTTATATTGGCATACATTGGGCCAATATATAGCCAATATTGGTTATAAATAAAATGTGAATAAATTGTCAACATTGCACAATATGATTGTACTAATATTGGCATAAATTGGATGTACATTGAGCTAATGTAACTCAATATCTAACCAGTACTGGTAACAAATGAATTCCCAATATTCAGAATTGTATATTGGCTATAAAATACAAAATATCTACAATATTAAACTAATATTGAATATATTGAGGCCCAATTTGTAGCTAATATTGCCCCAATGAAGAGATGATATGCAACAATCGATATCGCAAGCTCGATAAAAAAATTTCATAGAAACATTTCATGTAACAGACAAATAAAAAGATTTTATCGGATCTCTTAAGTTTATCTTGATATTTTTTGAGAATATACGTAAAATATGCGACACCCAAAGAAATATAATTTCATTCTCAGCGGAATTCTCTTATTTGCTCGAGAGAATTCTTTTAATAATAAAAAAAATTATTTCAAGAGTAATCTTATATTTCTTCATTAGAAAAGAAATATTCCTCTAGAAAGTAAAAATTTTTACTTAGAACACGGAATTACAGGAAATAATATCTTGTAACTAAATTTCTTTCTTGTTGGAATAATTTCTCCTCTTGGAATAATCCACAGGAACCTATGCTCCCAAGGCCATATATAAGAGAATTTCGCTAAGTATAAAATTGTATTTTTTGAGTGGATTTATCGCGTTCTACTTTATAACTGGTTAGAAAAGATTGCTACAAGCGCGCATCTAGAACTGTTCGAAGTTAGATAACGCCTTTAACCGAAGGCTCTCAACACCGGATCAGTTAAGCAAGATTGCACCGCGATATTCATAGTGCCCATCTCAGATAATTTGCATGCCGTAAGTACAAGTGAATGCGTGAGAGCAAATATGAGTTACCGAGTTGCAAACTTTCCTTTGTATCGCACGTACTCTATCTTGAACGCGGCCAGAAACTCTAAACAAGTGCATGAGATAAAGATAATCATCATTTTACTAGTCTTGGCCAAACCACGGCTCGTCACATTATTTTTGCAGTTTGTCAGAAGATTTTTTGGTGAACATGCATAATCCCGAAAAGAAGTATCAAAATTTTAAAAGTAGGACAATTCGAAAAGTCAAAATTCCCAAACTAAGTACAGGGACAATCTTTCGAAATATTTAAATCATAATTAGTACCTACTTAAAATGAATATAATCAACTTAATAATTATTATTTTATATGTAAACTACGACATATAATTTTGCTAAAGGAATTCTTCAAGAATAGAGAAATTTTTCAAAAATAAAATTTTGAATTTCAACAATCTTATAATTGTGTATTTCAATATTATAATAATATTTTCTTCCGATATTTAAAAACATATTCTCAATTATCATATTTAAGTTGTCATACATACAACTTTCTGGGACAACATATATTGTCGCGATATTCAGTTTTCGGGACGTTGTTCCACCCCTCTCTCTCTCTCTCTCTCTCTCTCTCTCTCTCTCTCTCTCTCTCTTTCTCAAATTTCGTGATTATGCATGTTCACTGATTTTTTGTACTACGCAGAAGTGAGAACAATTTTGTTTTAAAAATATCTTTTACTTTAGCATGTAAATTTTAAAATGAGATTACATATAAACATATAAGTATTTGTTAAACGAAGATAAGTTAATTTTAAATAAACTATACATTTTATATGATTCAACAAAGAAAAATATATTCTTATTACTCAAAAATAATTTTCATGAATAGAAAGTGTAAAGTATTGGGTTGAAAATATATTTTTAAATATCGGAAGAAAATATTATTATAATATTGAAATATATAATTATAAGATTGAGTGTTGAAATTCAAAACTTTATTCTTGAAAAATTTCTCTATTCTTGAAGAATTCCTTTAGCAAAATTATATGTCGTAGTTTACATATAAGATGATAATTATTAATTTGATTATATTCATTTTAAGTAGGTACTAATTTGTTCTGTGTACTTGTTATATCAGTGAGAAGTCATTAAATCATTATCCTGGTAGCATAAAGGCGTCTTAAAAATATTTAAGACGTTTGAAGGAAGTTCTCCTTTTTTAGATTTTTTTTAGACACCATTTAGATATCTAAAAAGGATATCGTCTTTACAGTATTTTTTAGAAATTTCTGCTACATATCCGTAGTCACTGATATAAAAATTATCTAGCGACTCGAAAAAAGTAAGGTGACAGGCCGCGAATTGACTAGATCATACAATATACCTGGTGAGAATCGAAGAGTGCAATATCGTCGATGAAGTAATCATCGAACGGTTCGTATGCGATATCCCAGTCGTATCCTGCCCGCCAACTTGACAGATCAAGTAGATCCTTATCTGCCGGAAGTATCAACGGCGTTATAACGGATTTGTAAACACCTGGCTTGGAGGGCGGTAAGATCGGTACGAGTTGTCCATAATTGGGATAAGTAATTTTAGGATAACTTCGAAGTTTCATGCTTTCGAAATTGGTGGACAACTTATGGTTCGTGCGCATGAATGGCCTTCGTATAATGTAAGTCGTGTCTACTGTTTTCGGGTGGTTGTAATGGACTCGGCCTTCCGGCGGCACGTATCGACCATCCGATGTCAGATAAACCTTGATTAAATAAAAAAGAGAATAAGATTCCTTAGTTTGCGAGTATACGGGATCTGTATCTGTGAATTATCACAGAATCTTAGCCAAAGTACTCTCTAAATTTTCTGAGGTAACATCTCACTAGAAGTAAAAATTTGCTCGAAGCGATAATGAAATTACTACCAGTCGGAGTCACAAGAATGAATGTTCCACTTGGAATTTTTAATTTATAGAATATATATGTTTCAATCAATTAAAGTGAAACTGTTCGCTGGAGTATACTAGATTACCATTCTTAAAACGACCGCTACCAACGTCACACGTGTGCGATGGCCAACATTTTTTTTCTATGTTCTTTTTTCCTATATCTTTTTTTTTAATTAATGCAGTTTTCAAACAGTTATACTGGGTCGGTGCGTTAATTTCTGCCTAATAACTAAAGGGTAAAGTTATTTGGAATCCCAAACAAGATGTAACGCTTTTCCTGCAATCACTGCGCACAAAAAATGTGCAAAACTCATTCGCCGAACAAAAACGGAACAGAAAAATGTATAAAAAGAACTATGTAATTGACTAATCAAGTGTGCTGCTCTCAAAATGGGCTCAAAATGGGCAATTTGCTAGTACTCAATCTTTCGAGCATGCTTTCTAATTTTAATCCTAATAAGAATCATAGCATAGGAAATTTTTGTTGCGTAATATGTATTTTCTCATGTTTTTTTACCTTTTACGTGATATCTTTCACGTAATATCATAATGTCATAATATCATTTTATCCATTCTCACCAATTTCTTTTTAGTATGTTTTTCTATTTACATACGTTCATTCATTGCTCGCGTAATTTTGAGCTGTTTTTAACAATATAAATAAATGTGTTTTAAATTCACATTATAATATGTGCACATTATAAAACTGAATTAATATTACTATGTCTTAGGAAGAATCATTACACCACATATCGCACAATAAACTACTTCAATCATCGAATAAAACTCTACCAAGTTCTTCTCCAGTTCCTACGTAGTATTTTTGTAAGCAATGAGGATACATTAATATTAGACAATAACTAGACACGCAAACTACATACATTTCTATCGTATTAAATTTCTATTGCAAATATTCGTTCGACGATTCAGAGTCGCTCGATTTCCAATGACTCTCTTAACTGCCACTCTACTTTTCGAATGGAATTTCACTCGAAGAAATTTAGAGAGTAAGTGCTCTAGTTCGAAAAGTGAACGTTCGTAGTGTGCACGTATATACCTTTATGATCTCCGGCATCCTTTGATCGGAATGAGGATGCTTCTGCACATGCCGAGCGTCCAACACCACACCGTCGGGCACAGTGATGCCTTCTTTGTTCAATCGATTCAATGCCAGACGATCCGTTCGAAAAGCTTCCTCTGGAATCTTGCCACCTAACGCCGGCAATACCTGTTCTCGAAAGATCTGCCGCTTGTGCTGCAACAATCGTCTTGAACAATTTATCGCGGACAGTAATAATTTTCAGTAATAATATCTCGCAAATTACATCCGCAACGATCAGTCTGACGCATTAATCCGCCAATAGTATCTACGATAGTAGACGTTAAAAACGTCCATTCGTTTCGTAACCCCAGATCATCACCAATTATCTAACGTCTCGTATATAATGTACATAATATACTGTACATATACTCTCATATCCTGTACGCACGAATGTTACGCGTCGGTATGCGCGCTCTTTCATATAGCTGTCATTAATAATATCTCCGCTACTTTCACCGATTACGCGCAATTATATTCGTCTACGGAGTCATTCTTCCCAGTCTTTATGTCCGATACATCGCAGGTTTGACCCTATGAAGTACCCCCGTGTACGCGCAACAGATTCATGGTGTGAAATTATTAACATGCGCCGCATGTGTATCTCTAACGTTAACAAAAGTTTGGCTTTTTCATTCGCGCGCGCTTTAATCCATCAAGCCAGTTTTGTAAGTGTGGCGGCACGAAAGAGCTTCGCACATCCGGATGTTGCAGCGTCAATGTGATGAAATAATGACACGGTGACCGAATAGGACGAACACGATTTGGAAAGTTGTATGTCTCGGCAAGATAGAAATATTATTCCATTGCGCGCACGCGCGCGTTTCATAACCAAATAGCCGTGCAATTTTTGCCGGTATATGTGGATCAACAAGTAGGATTATGAAAATATCTTTTAAGACTTTTGATTATTTAACCTTTTCTGCATTGGTACGTCCCGACAAGATCGCGGCTACCAGCAGCAGTCGGCACCAATCTCCTCGTCTAATTGTTTTCATGGCGATGATCAACTCGTTTACCGCCTCCAGCTATATAGTCAGAATCATCTTTCTAACAGCAGCCGCTGTGATCTGAAACATAAATCGTGCTTTGCGAAAAACGTCCGAGGAGAGAGAGAGAGAGAGAGAGAGAGAGAGAGAGAGAGAGGGAGGGTAAGAGTAATCTCGCTGATCTCCCGCTATTCGGTGGCGGATAAGATTAATATACTGCCGCTCCTCATAAAGTCGACGAAAATAAGTCGGCAGTATAATGAATGCACCGCTTGTTTGTGAAATTCGTTTTCGACGTGTTTCCAACGATGTTTTCGGGCCAGAAAAGCAACAATATTTGGAAATATATTTTTAAAAATCTACTAAATAAATATGTTTGTATTTTACACAAATTGAGTAATTGAGTAATATATTTGCATTCAAACATAATCTGTAATTATTCTTTTAATGCAAATATATATTACTTAATTATACATATAAAATTTAACTCATCATATTCACTTGGTAGTTTACTTTAAATAAATTCTCAAATATTGTCGCTTTTTAGCCTGAAAAAGTAATATGCCTCCTTTATCATTTTTAACGTCATTATTTTAAGTCCCGAGCGCGTACCATGCGTGAAAAGTCGCGAATGGAGAACAGAGAGATATGAGGTGATATCGCCCGGACACATATTACAATAAAATATGCACATTCCCAAATAACCGAACTCTCGTACATAACTCTCGTACCCCGGGCCGCATACTTTTGCGCACATCTCAGCCGAGGGAAAATAACTCGCGCGCACGTTGCGTAATGCGGATGCGAGCAGCTGGCATGCAAGTTGGAATAATAGACGCGCTCCCCGGCAATGGTGATTAGCACGAACGCTACTTACTCCAGCGCGTTATCATCACATTCTGAGACCGTCTGGGGGGATAAAGAAACCTAAAAAGATATCGGAGATCTGAAAAAACGACAAGTATATTTTTCGTTCCAAAAGATAGAAGAAATTCTTTAAGTGATGCGTGTTATAAAAAAAAACATACAATTATTTGTAAAGGATAATGTTAAGAAAAATATATACTTTAAAATATATACTTACAAAAATAGTAACAAAAATTATTATAAAATAATATCGTAAAAGAGTTGTAAAAAGAGGCCAAATACATATACAGGATACGTCTGCCGATTTATTTTTATTTGTAAAATCTGTGGCCAATTTGCTGTTGCAAATTACCGCAAAGCCGAAGCACTTGTAATATTCGAGTATTCAAGTTACAGATATACAGCTATTTCTTTTCATTAAAGAACAACAATCGCAACAAAGGCAAATTGAACTGAACTTGAGCTGAAAATTTGAGCTAAATGCGCCCAGTGCCACAGCAAGCATTTTGATGCGCCCATTTTCCGCCTGATGCAATGAATATTTTATTTCTAATACATACTATAATACACTATACAAAATAAGTACATATCATAATAACGTCACACTATATTAATATATTGTAACACAACTCGCACTCGGGATCTTGAAGATACAAAGGAACTTGGAAAAAATAAAATAAAAGCAATAATAAAAGAAGCTAGATTCAAAACATTTCCTTCCCAAATCGCACAGTCCGCTCTGTTAACTGGTTCACAGAGAATTTTTCTGCCTCCACGTATCTTTGGCCGGAAACATATTTTCTCTTGACATACAAGAATATATACGCGATCGATCGACATCGACTTAACTGCGAGCGTAATCATATTTTCATTAATTAATGAACAATTAAGTAGTATATAAATCAGCTCCTGTGTAAATACAATGTAAAGTAAGAAAAACTATGCCAACTCGGAGGAGTCGACTTCTTACTAGTGCGAATAATTATTATTTACAGGACATTACAGGTGGATTTCGTCGTTTGAACGACACATTATCCGCCGAATTATTCTTCAAAATTTGAAAAAGCAACCTTGTTCGTTGACCTTTACTTCCAGTTATTGTTAATGGTCATCGTTCTGGGACCATTCGGTCCCCGCTTAAAGAGATGCGCTTTCTGTAGAGACGCGTGACAATCAATTTGTAGCAGTAACGGTGATAAATAGAGAGCGTGACTTCTTTTCTCCGGGATATTTTCGCACAGTAAAACACGGCTTGCCCGTGTACCGCAATTATACATCCGACCCTCGATGTCAGCACGAGCGGAGGGCACGATTCGAATCATGGCATCTGCCATCGACGCGATCGCTCCTTGCTACCCCACAGCCTCGTTCTAATTACGCCTTCGAGTTGAGTTGTCGCAATCTTCCTCGTCTCAGCGCTTACGTATAGCGGAGAACGGATAGGTGCGCGCGCGACGCGAGTGATTAATACGCTCGAGATACTTCAACCTTGTGAACTTTGCGCCACGCGTACATCGAACTTTTTATCTCGTACAGGCTTTCCCTAATAACGCGATCTCTTTTCGCTCCTCAAGTTCTCGCTCGCTAGCTCGCTGTCTTTCATTCTCGTGTCATCGAGAGGCGCGCCGGCTCGTGAATTTTCGCAAGGTCATCGTCTCCTCGCTAAGTTCAAACAAAGCAATTGTTTCGTACCGCATTCGCTTATCCAGTCGTCGCACGGCGTGACTTTCTTCTCGGCTCTTCTCGACGAGTTTGAGTTTGTAAGCGCCTGAGCGCGCCTGAGCGCGAACGAAGGCAAACGCTTATTTCAATTTTTACAGAGGCTACTTTCGTTCGGGATTCACGGTTGCGTTAAAACGTGGAGCTAACGTAACACCGCTCGTGATTCGCTGGTGAACTTTGTTAAAGAGTATTAATTTATTATTCAAACAATATTAAATGATCGTGTCGATCTTAAAAGGCCGAACGCTCAGAACGAAGATTTTAACGAGCGAAGGAAGCTGTTCAAAAAGATATAGCGATTGAATGATTGTTATATTAGCTGTGCGCATAATCTTTCTTTCTCGCAACCCTTTCCTTTGCCAATTCTTCGAGGGAATTTACTTGAATTTTAAATAAATGCGCACAGTATGGGTTGTAAAATGGTTTAGACACAATAAAGTTGGGAGTCTTTCACCGAATTGACAGACATTTTATAAAAATTGGGAAACATTATTGACGCGTGCTTGCCCAGTAAATATAATATTAATTATTATTACTTTCATTAATTATTTTTAGTTATTCTTAATTATATTATTAACTATATTATTATTGTTTGCCAATAATGACTTTAAATTTTGTGGTGAGCTCCCAACTATATTGTGTCTAAACCATTTTGCAACCCGCTATTAGAATGTTGAAAAAAAAACTTTTGTACAAGTCCGATATATTGTGTCGCAAAGAGTAACGTCGAGCTGTCATAATGCGCAATCGCGTAAAGATGACCGCCACTTCCTAGCTTTCGCGTTGCGACGAAAATGTCTCCGTCTTGTTACAGTGGCGTTCACAATGAGAAAGGAGAACTGAAAGGATCTATTCTCTTCGTATAAGCTCGGAACTAATTTTCGAGCGGCGAACAGACGACCTCAAGGTCGATGTTCTTATATGGGCAGGTTTAATTTCAGTGCATCTGCCACGGTCGAGCGACTTCATTCGCGATTGTGTTCACCTTTCAAATGACTGAAATATCGCTCGTATAACGCATTCGTCGTCTCGCAATTCCGGAAACGTGAATGCAGTGTCGAATATCGTCTCGTTTTACATACAATCGAGAATGATTTCGCGATGTAACCGCAGAGAGTCGAATTTCACTTGACACGTCATGAAAATAGGCTTCGGCGTAATTAATTTCTTTCTATCGGCGATGCCGATAATGTATAATAATAATTTCTTCATCATCGTTAGATCAGAAGATATTTACAATACAGTTAATGTATCTGTGAGTGAATGATGCGGCGGCAGCAGCAGCAGCAGCTTTCAAATTGATATAAGGTCTTGTCCTAACTAGACGAAACTAAATCGTACTAAGAATTGAATGCATAATGCATATAACACCATATTATATAACAATAACGATCAATAATCCTCAGAATTCGGTAGTATGTTGACACAACCATCCGGAAAGTGATAGATAACGAGGTTGAACATGCGTTCTGTGGTTGTAATATTTAACCTCATTATATAAGAAAAGGCAGGGATTAATTAGTCTTGATATTTTGTCAGCAGCACGCTCTGTACTATGATAACGATGTGTGTGATACTATTACGAAGAAAAACGCACTCATGCTCTTGTGTGTAAACTCAAAGTTCCTGAACTTCGATCGTTGTATACGATCGCGAGCGCCAATTCAAGCACTCGTGTTAAATCATCCATCCGGATGTCCGCATTGCCTAGACTCTCTGCAAAGACTTTCGCTTTCTCGCGATCGTAATTTTAGCTGAACATAAAGTGATCACCGTAGGGTACATCCACGTAGATGTAATCGAAGAAAGTCAGCGAGCATATTCGCTCTTCACGGATGACATTGCAACATATACGTTCATTTTGTCGAGCATATTTTGCAACGATACGACTGATGTACATACACGTGAATTCTCCTGATAAAAAGAAGAAAAAAACCCGCTCGACAGAAAATTTACATCTTCTGGGATCATTCACAAAAAATAATGAGAAAACAACAAAATGTCTGCCAATATAATATCGATGAGCGCGACATTTTTTTTCATGAACGAAAATGAAAATTCGTTTTCAGTCTGATACTTTCAACGCGACATTTTCTAGAACACTTGTACGTCCAAAGCATTTTCTTATTCTTAAATGACTGGAGAAATGATCTGGAGAAACGAGATGTTATTACCGAACAAAATCAAAGACAATTATTATCATTGGTAATTACAGGTGAACCATTATTTTCGCTGCCAGACGTGTCGCACGCTATAATCTAGAACATCTCCCGAGTCATCTTCGAACAATGACTAGAGATTGTAGGAAGCGCATCGCGCTGCCGACAGAAATCGCTGTCGCGGTGAAACACCCGCTCTAATGCATTCCCGGCGCGCGCTCTATCGCGCAATCTCTTTTCCGATTGTTACGACACAGTACTCAGTTTGCGTGTTATTTATAATTATTCGCGTCCGTAAAACTATGACAATTTCGTAAACTTTCACCTTACTGACACCTTACTTTACATGGTAACTTTCCCATTAAATAAAAATCGTACATAAATAATTTTCTAACGACTCCTGAGATGTCTGTACGTCGCGTGCCTTCACGGACGATTAATCACAATTGATCGAGTGTCTTTGTGATTTGGCGGTTGCACTTGTATCTCCAGCGATTGCGGAAACTGCGTCTGCGAACGGTTAATCGCTCGAAAGACCGATACTTCCTGTCTCGTTCAGGAGAGCCACGAAATTGCTAGCCATCGCGATCGGTCGGTCGTGACCTTCCTTTCGAGGAAATCTGAACGATTTAATAATTGCCGTCCGATTCTCAGAAGTTGTCGGCCAATCTCAGTTGTTCTTTCACTTATCTCGGACAAGATATCACTTATGGCCGATTTTTTTATTATAAACAATGGAAGTCGCTACCTTCTATTGAATGACATATTTGAAAGCAACAGTTTCTTTCTCATCTTACATATAAGAATGCTGGATAAGTGAAAGCAAATGTAAAAAAAAAAGTGTTTACAATATTTTGTTGTAGTTACGTAACGATGTTAGGACAATAACAACGTTTGGAACCAATTCGTGAGTGTTAAAAATGATCCGACAAAGGGTCGCCTTTATCGAGAGAAAGAGAGACAGGGAGAAAAGAAGAATAGTATTTATAATGTTAACAATTATAACATAATCAAAGACTTGATTGTCTTCAGGAGAGAGTCACGCCACAGAAACCAAAATATATCCTGAACGAAAGAAAAAGGTTTCTATGAAAAAATTATATAACACAGTATACGGATGATTCGAAAGAAAGATTAATAACAAATTAGCTCCCGGTAAAAAACCTTTGTCTCCTGCAAGAACACATGTACATTTCTGCTACATAAAACATTATTAATATTTCATGGAGCATAAAACTAACGAATATGAATAAAACAAGCATTGTCAAAACGAAAATCGACTTTATTGATAAACATCGCAAATGCCAGAGAAATATAGCCGAAATGAAGGACGAACGAATACCTTGAAAGTTTGCGATAAATTCCCGTCAACCAGTCAAATGCAGTTTTAGCTGAAGTAGTATACACTCTCTTTGGAGACGCTGTTCATCACACCCGCAAACAAAATTACTCCAGTTACTTAAAGATCGCCAAAATGCAACAAGTATCTCCTCGAGCGACAAGTATCTCCAAAAAACACACCGCGCAACGATCGAATGTACTAGACCGGGCAGAGGCCGATTCAGGAAGTTGAAGGATGGTGAAGATGATACTGAGTCCGCTAGTAAGAGTTCGTCTCGTGATATACTCGGGGAGGTTGAAGCACGTGAACCGAGTTCGAGGCACTTTCACTGGGCGACCGGGATAGTCGGCGGTCTCCGTCTCCATCTTCCTCTTTGAATTATCGTCGTTATCGTGCCCCCTGATATACGCAGAAAGTGATTCGCGGAAGAATGATTCAAGTCGAATGAAGCGATCTTAACCTTCGCGTGATTATCTTTGCCGATTAGTGATCAGTATCATAAAGCACTCGAAATAGAAAATCGGAGGAATTTGAAATAACACATACAATTAATAGACTGGGCTAAGTAACAGTAAGGTACGAACGGTACTTTCTCATACTTCCGTTTAATTACATTCGCGAGATTTCAATGTAGCACTTACTAACAATGTGAAATTTACTCGTGAAGGTGTTCAGACTGCTCAGCGCTCGCGAAATTACGTAGTACCGCGCCATGCCGTCCGACATAAACAATACTTTATCATTTTCGTTATTTTTTCTGTGCACAATTACGTTATGCAAGTGGTATACATTTATGCGAAATATGATCAGCTGCTAAATATTCATTAAGTGAGCAGCTGCACGATTGGAACCCGAAAATGTTGGGATTTCTTTCCGCTAATTACATGCCCAAAACTCGGTGCAATAAAGTGAAGAAAAAAAACAACTTGTTTTTCACAACATATCACTTTGTAATTATTTTCAAGTTATTTTGAAGGAATGACGTGCATAATAGAAGATAAATTTAAAACGACTATTCTGAAATGTCGTCACTCATCCCAAAACCAATAGGAGAATTTGTTTTCTCATATATATAATTTTCAGGAGATATATATTTTCCTATTTGCATTCCTATTAACGGAATGCGTTACAAAACTTATAGAGAAAAAGCGTTGCTACCTTTAATCAGCCGACTGCATGCTTAGCGAATGGATATGTAAGAGACTATAAAGTGAGGTTCCAGCATTGAAAGAAATTCAATTAATATTTATTAGTCCTTAACGCTATTTATAATATTCTTTATGTAAGATACTGTTTAAACCACTTTTCGTCTAGTTAAAAGATCAATGTTTTGTGTAATCGGAAAGACGCCTTTTAGAGATCTTTGTATCTTATCGACAAGATGACCAAGAAAAAATGTATTTTCGTTAAGTAAAAGTATATTTGTGACATTTTAAAAGTGTCTTTTAAACATCTTTTCGTCTAACCAAGAAGATGACTGAAAAAATATATGTTCCTTATCTGTTAAGTTTTATATGCTGTCTGGGAAGTAATATAGCACCGCCGCAATTAGTGATGTATCTATAGTTGCACATCACGATGTTATGTTAATGCAAGAAAATGAAATACTTGCAATGACAAGATAACGCAATATCGTACAAAATTTCGATAATTATCCCATGACGAACTAAAAGAATTAGTTTAAAATTAGAAGCATTCTAAGAATAAAATCGATATATTTATCTATCAGTTTCATCTATCAGAACTTTCTTTTATAAGATAATGCTTATTTTTAATAATCTTTGAATAATTACATACAGAAATCATTATACATAAAATACATGAAATCATCTTAAATACGTTGGAAGAAATTGAAGTGGCTATAATTAATCAATCTTCTGTCCAATGTGAGGAACGTTTGTAAAGAATCGCGTGAAAAAAGAGTTAAGAACATGTATAAAAATTTAAATATCAAAGTTAAAAATGTGTACATATGCACATATATATATATATATATATATATATATATATATATATATATATATATATATACACATACACACACACACATATATATATATATAATTTACAAGGGACATATGTGCATAACCTGCTTACATAATTCTTGTACGTTTCTTACGTTGCGTAATACATTGGCATATTCACCGTATCAGATTTGCAAAAAAAGTATTACACATTCATATAAGCACACTAATACGAACACGTAATTATCGCTGTACTTGACCGCCAATCGTTATACGAAGCAGTGTCAATCGAGTATTATTAGCGATTTTCAAACTAAATCTAAACTGAACCTGAACTAAAATATAAAACGACGAAAAGTGACGTCGGAAATTTCGCGGCCTCTCGTCGATTCAATATCGACATGAGCCGCTGGGCAGGAAAAGTCGCCGTTGTTACCGGAGCCTCGGCCGGCATCGGTTTGGCTATAGCGGAAGCATTTGTACGCGACGGGATGATCGTGATCGGTCTCGCAAGAAGAAAAGCTGTAATGGAGGTAAATTTTCGAAAAAAGAATTTACCTTGGCACATAAATTCGAATACTTAGATTCTAAATTTCTTGGAATGCAATTCCCACTCAAAAAGTAGAATGACGGTAAAATGACTTCACATTTTCTTCTTCTCTGAATAATTAACTGGATATTTTCGTTTGAAATTGAAGAGATACAAAGTAAATGCCCCAATTAATGACCAAGTAACCTCATTATGAAAATAAATTAATCAATTAATAATGTATTTGTTAAGTAAAGTACACAAAATTGATTTTGTTGGAGAGAGTGGACACTTGAATTTTAATTGTGTTATATTTTTCTAATTTATGAAAAGATTTGATTTTATTTATAATATTTTCTCAAAAGAGTTCCTAGCAGCATATATTAGTTGGCTAATGGTTGGCTGCTGTAAATTCTTTACATTGGCTGCTATAGATTCAACATTGATTTAGTGCTTTATACTGCTTGGAAATAGCTGTATGTGTGTGTATTATGTGTTGGCGATATGCCATTTAGTGACGTGTAGTTTTGTTCCAGTTTGTGATATAAAGTAAATGTTCCAATTGATGACCAAATATAATCTCTTATTGCAAAAAATAAAAAATATATAAATATATTACTAAAAAATAATAATAATTTTTGAATATATCAAAAATCGGTACAATATTATGCATGTATTACTTACTTAAATATGGCAATACTTAATGACTTAAATATAGCAATTTATAAACAAATAACTTATATCTGTATTACATAATAAATTCCATAGAGATAAGTTGCGGTATTGATACTATTTCTTAATTCTGTGAGATGAAAGAGATGAGAGAAATACATTTTTATATCGCGATACAAACGATTTTTTCACACATTTCTGTTTTAGTGTCCAATATATATTTATTCAGTCACGAATATATAGCATATCTTTTGGACTTTTTTCACATTTGTTTCGCAAAAGAATTATTGCAATTTCTAATTCTATTTCTCACAAATTACTTGTGTATAATGTTTGATTAAATCCTTATGCATTTTTAGGCTAGAATGAGATTCATACAGGGAAATGGAAAATTTATCCCATGCGAATGTGACGTGTCGAAGCATGAAGACTTAAAAGATGTCTTTCATTGGATTAAAAATAACGTCGGTGTAATTCAAATTATGGTAAACAACGCTGGCCTCTTTATCTCAGGCACTATCGCTGGTATTATATTTTCGATAAATCCTGCAGTATATAATTTTTATGTACGCATGAAATGTTATTGTCAAGACATATGCAATATATAAAAAGTGCAAGGCATAACGTGAAACCTAGTTTCACGCAAACGCGTTATTTATCGACATATTATGATAGATTTGATTATTTAAGTGTAAAAACTAAGCTTTCCGAGACAATCGCGATTTAATTTAGTAAATTATTTGGCAGATACTTCGCGACAAGATTGGGAAAAGGTGTTTAACGTAAATGTAATGGGATTGCTCGAATGCACAAAACACGCCGTTAGAATGATGAAGGCCGCCGATGTCGAAGGACACATCATCAATATCAATAGGTTCGCAAAAAAAAACCGTATCGAAAAAAAAGAGATTCAGCTGTCGCAGCTAATCTTAATTTAATAAAAATGCATTCGCCGCTGTAATTAAATATTTGCTGCTGTTGCTACTACATCGGTTCCATAGCTAAATATATTCCTACTGGCAGCTATATTTTTATGTATCCATGTTACAGCGAGATTTAGCTACCACATACAGATTCTTGTTGCCGCAGTTAATTCTTTTTTTCCATGCGTAATTTAAAAAGTAAAATTATCAGAAAATCGAGCAAACATAATTCGGGAAATATTTATTCGCGAAATGTATGTGATAACGTGATAACGATAGTATAATTGATATAGCATTCAAGGACACCGACTGCGCCAAATACAAAATGTGAACTTTAATGTGTATCCGGCGTCTAAACACGCTGTCACGGCCATCACAGCGATGCTCCAACAGGAACTGCGCGGTGAAAAAATTCGTGTCACGGTACGTTGTGGATATTTTTCTTGATACTCTAAATTTCGAATGTAAGCATTAGTTTTATCCATTATCTGTATACGTCTCATTGCTAAAATAAATTTCGTAAATTGAAAACGTTCTCTCTCGTTAAAACTTGCAGATATAAATCACATATAAATCATATTCAAATGTTATTACTTTATTTGATTCCAAAGATAAAAACAATGAAAATGGCAGCTTACATATCGTATCGTTTCCGTATTTAATCAATGGAACATTTTTTCAGAGTATTAGTCCAGGTTATGTAAAAACTGAAATATTGGAAGCATCGGCTCTAGATATCAATGGTCTTAAGATCTTTTCTTCTTTTCCTGCATTGGAGAGTAAAGATGTCGCCGATGCGGTGGTCTACGTTATCGAGACGCCGCAACACGTTCAAATTACTGAACTGACTATTGCACCTTTCGGCGAGAGTATGTAAGCTTTGAAAAACACACTGCAAGATAAATATTCCATTGCGTTAGAATGTCAATGAAAAAAGTTAGAAAGAAATCATTATGTACCAAATGCTGAGGAAGAGCAGCTATATAAAAGAGGACTGTACACTTTGTTTAACGCACTCTAAGATTTTGCATCGATCTAAATTATTGCAAAGAGAGAGAGAGGAAGAGAGAAACTTATAAATGTGGAATATATTGTTATGTAACAAAACTTAGAAAGTGACAATTATTTTGGATATACAGGTCCTATTTCAATTACATACTTCAATTATCTCAAAAACAAGATATTATATAAAAAATCATAATGTGTCGAACAAAAGTTGTATGGTTTCAAGGGGAAAAGAAGATGGTAATATTCATTTGATCTTAGGAAGACTCGGCTCAGTCAAATTTAATTTTTTTCTTTTTTTTTTTTTATTGAATCATATGGTTTTCCTAACATAAATAAATTCCTCTGATCACGCACACACATATGTATTCGGCGTATAAAAGTTCTAAAGTGACATAATCAAAAAGTGAATATTTTTCGATATATTGCTCATTTTATATTGATAGTTCGATACAAAATATAAAATATCTCGAAAAATATTTACTTTTCGATAACTTTGTCTTAATATTTTTATACGTAAAATGAAATTAATCAAAAATACATAGAGGAACTTTAAACAAATTTCCGTTGAATTTTATAAATTCATTGATGCACCAAATATACAGAAATTAATATCACTGATCAACAATTTTCCTTTTGTAATATCAGGGAATTTTTTGTCACAAAACAAATCACTTGCTATCATTATTTTCTCCAAATCCTCTCTTTTCGATTGGCAAGATCATTTTCATTGTCATTTACTAGCCCGCATTAGGGCCATTTATAGTAATCCATATTTACAACATCACATCATGAATGACATATTAGCGAACACAATATACAATTAAATTAGTTATGCTCTTCAATGCATCCATCCTTACACAGTTTATAGTTCATAAGCAATTACATCAACGACATATGTACGTTTCTAAATAAAAAATGGAACATACATACCTATCCAATTTGTCAGATGTCAAAAACAGAGAATTTTGTATAACTTCTAAACAGGCTTGAAAACAACCACGCAATCAAGTTTTATTATATGCTACGCTTTGGAAAAAATTACTCAAGCGCTTTTCAGTAAAATATAGCGCCATACAGAACTATAAAACACTGATAGCCTGTACTAGCACTATGGCCTATATTTATATTCTTTTTTCTAATAGATATGTAACGGAAAAAAGAGCGCACATTCTATAAAACATAATAAAATATCTGATATCTTTAAATGACTTTATTCGTGCAGTTTTAGTCAACTTGTCCGTATCAAAAAATGGATTAATTTACAATCTGACAACCAGAAAATCATAAGGATTGTCACGACTTACTATGACAGTTTCCTAAAGTTTTACTCTATTTGTGCATTTGAGACGACTGAAAAATGTCTCATTTGCACTTTTACTCTCTCTCTCTCTCTCTCTCTCTCTCTCTCTCTCTCTCTCTCTCTCTCTCTCTCTCGTGTTTCATCTGTAATATAAAGTCCTCACCAGAAGCGCACGTCTTCCTCTTTCAGCAGATAACGACACAAAGCGTTACAATATATACATAATCAGTCGACTGAATTTCAATTGTAGATGCAACAATATTCTTTGCGCGCATATTACGTGTGAAAAGCTAAAAGAATATAGAAATATTATGTGAGAAATATCGAAATAATACAGAGACCCTAATGTTAAGAATTACGTTATAGTTCTGTGTGAATTTACTCTATAACGAGATACAGATTTTATATTTATAATTACGTTATAGTTCTGTGTGAATTTACTCTATAACGAGATACAGATTTTATATTTATAATTACGTTATAGTTCTGTGTGAATTTACTCTATAACGAGATACAGATTTTATATTTATAATTACGTTATAGTTCTGTGTGAATTTACTCTATAACGAGATACAGATTTTATATTTATAATTACGTTATAGTTCTGTGTGAATTTACTCTATAACGAGATACAGATTTTATATTTTATTTTACGATTTAATCTGTATCCTGTCAATTCTGGACGGCGTTTCATTTGTGAGTCAACCAGCGCATAATCATAAATTTTATGAGAGAGATTCCATACATTCAAACTTACTTCTTTGACAATATTGTACATGTACATTTTTATATTCCATTAAATCTATGTAGAAAACTTAACAATTTTTCATATTAATTGAATTTTCCATATCGCTAATTATCACCAAATGCGGAATTTGTACAACAAATAGCAACGAGATATTATCAGAGACCTGCAATGCTGGCGAGAGTTTCATAACTATTGGATAAATTATCGATAAGCAACGTTATCATAACAACATTACACTGACTACATGCGATCATTTGATATAAATATCTGAATGTTGGTCTACGAGAATGCGCTATTAATTCTACACGGTCTAAAATATAATTTGTAAACTGTATATACTGTGTGTGTGTGTGTGTGTGTGTGTGTGTGTGTGTGTATGTGTGCATGCACGACGCGATAATATCATTCGTTGATCTTTAATAACATCTCGTCGCGATAATAGAAAGAAACTTGTACCTACAATAGTTGTATTCAATAAATATGTTATTTAAAACAAAAAGATTATAAAGTTATACTATACTCTCTTCACGCCTACTACTCACTATCGACTATATTAATTCTACATTAAATAACAATTTTGCTTCTATCGTATTGAATACATAAAGTCGTAAAATTCGCACATTTCAAAACGATCTGCCATAATGAGCATATTTAAGACAAACTTTTGAGTATAAAAATTTATATATGTACATTAAAATGGCAGTTTAAAGCTATTTAACTCCATTCCATCTGTTTTCGTTCATCGATAATTGCAAATATGCAAAAAGACCGACTGTTCGCATACGAAACGTTTGGACGTCAACGATACGAACGGAATTGAATACAATTCGATATATTTGAGACATTGTCTCATTTTAGGATTAAGATAAAACGAATAGGAAATTTGAGCGAAACCAGCGGATACGTGGCCGAGTAATATTCGACGCGTATAAAACGTTTCATAGGATATAGCACGTTGTTATTCCAAGTCGCACTTATTCGAGTGAATAAATCCTCCGAATTGACCAACTCATTCTGAGTTATATTTGGTTATAAATTCCCATAACCATTTTACTTTACCATTAGAATGGAAAAAAATTCGAGCAAAACGACACTTATCTTGAATTGACCGCAATGTACAAACGATTATCACGATCCATTCACTCTGACAGCATCTGCATTTATATTCGTGTACGTGACAATGTTATTGCTGTCATCGACAACGGGTTTCTGCCTCAGTAGATTCAACAACGCGCTATTTATCACGAGGGGTATGTTCGCCTTACTATTTTGCAAGTTCGAATGAGTCCTTTGGATATTCGGCAATGTATTCTTTATCACCGCGCTCTCGTTCGAGAGCACTTCTCCGTTTACGGTGGCATTCGGAACGTTATTCTTCGTAGGAAGGACCGTCGTCTGTGAATTAATCAAGGACGAACTAGGACGAGTGGAGGGCGCTAGACTAAGCGAGCTGCAGCTCCTGCCCTCGAGACTTGCCTCAGAGTCTCTTCGCTCGCTCAAGCTAGATATGTATTTTCGTTGCTCGTTCAATGACGAGAAAGAGTCCCTCTTAAGTGTCGTCTTTACTAGGTAGTTTGCCAATCTGGAACTATCCAACGTGTTGAACTTATCCGACAGAGCCGGCATTCCCCTTCGATCGGGCGAGTTTAGACTCGCGACTGACGATCTCTTGTCGTACAACGTTCCATCTGACTGTTTTCGTTCTTCTATCGAGCGTTGCTTACGGTCTCGCGAGATCTCCGAAGGCAAGCTACATTTGCGATCCTGATTCGCGCAGTTGTTTTTGCTCATATTCGCCAAGTTCTGATCCGAAATATGGATCGAGCGGGGCACTTCGTAACCAGACGTAGGGTTTTTCCTCAGAATAATATCTTCATTGTCCGCCAACACTTCCAAGTACTTAGGGATATCACCGGAGTGCGGAGCCAGCGTGGCGTTGTTTGAATTTTGAAGGAAGGGCTGCATGTCTCTGCTTCCCTCGGAACTGCTAGATTTCCAGGAGTTTCCTACGCGCAAAAGTTCCGATTTTATTACAAGAATATAACACTCAAATGACTAATACTTCATTAGAAGTAAAACCGGAACGGGTTTTAGCGCACTTCTTTGTTAAAAGTAAAACAACATAGCAGAAAAAAATTTTGCACAATTCAATGAGCTCTATCCTCATACGATACGATTTTTCTTTACAGGTTCATGCGATTGCATCGATATAATTGGCTGCACCGAGGTATCTGCGAAAAAAAGGTTCGTATCACAGGATGAAGTTTATTAAGGTTCCTGATCCTGCGGAACTCTTCATTGATAACGTCAAAAGCGAGAAAGCTCGAAAATGCCCAAAATTTTTACGTGTCATTTTCAAATAAAAAGATGAGAGAATACACTTCAGATTGCTTGAGCATATTTACAAAATGTTTCAAAAGCTACCATTTCTCCTTGATAGTCAATAATTAGTCGTAAAGATAAGATGACAAAATTATGAGAAAGGGTAAGTTAAAGAATAAGATTGTACAATATTGTTAATTTTACGAAGAAAATGCTAGAACCAGTTCTAATTGAGTGATACGTATCGAATCCATTATTATATAAAGACAGTGATAGCATTTATTTGATGATGCATCCTATTCTGTGCAGCCATTATACTTATGCAAATCTGATATTTTAGACTTCCGCGATGTGGGAAAATGCTTGACCTAATACAGTAAAGACCAACTATCAGTAACATAACATCGATATGTTATTTCCTACACAATAATGTAAATACAATATAAAATGAACGTGTATTATATGAGACAGTTACATTATTAAATAGAAAATTATAACATTGGTGTTAACGTTACCGTTAGTTAATGTTACTGTCAATTGGTGTTTATTGGACAGCATCCAAACCGATGCCGTTTCAAGACATGCAGTTTCAAGTAGTTCCTTTTCCTAAAAATGTAAACTAAAATATTCAAAAAACTTTGAAAACGAATCATAAAAAACACAACATCAACTCGGGAGCTAGATCAACCATGTCGTCGGACGAAAATTAGAAAACCTGCCAACTCACAAAATTTCATTCCTACATAGAAGAAATTGATAATTTTCACGAAACTATAAATTTAAATTTTAGTTATACTAATTCATTTTTCGAGATTTTTTTATTTTTTATGAGAAATATATATATTTGAAAGTTTTTCCAATAATGCAAAATCTCGAGACAAGTCAATGAATATTTCAATTTCGTCAAAAATTGGAAGCCTTCCAATTTGGCAATACATTTTACGATATATATAAATCGGATTAGAAAACTTTATTAAATGAAGCGACTTTAAGAAACTTTTAAGAAACTATTTTTTACGAAATCTGTTAAATAATATTTTAATAAATTTCGTGCCGTTTTATGTACACAGAAAAACATCGAGACAAATATGAATACGTTATTAATATGTTAAAATTTACGAATTGTATCGGATTAATCCTTGTGTCAACCTGCAATTGGTGACACATTATTGGAATTGAAAAATAAAAAGTCGTATCGTGTCGTTCTCTCGGCACGAAGATCTGGTATTATAAAGATGGACGACGATTGTTAAAACCTACCTGAATTGTTATGATTCTGATTCTCGTCAGCAAAGTAAGCCATGTTAGACACGCCTGCAAGCACGAGCCATGCAATGATAAATATGTATACACACACAAGCGAAAACATATCCTCCGATATATACAATATTATTTCAGTAACCGTAAAATTCGGGTACATTTAAGGATTGAAGCACTCGATGAAATGACGAGACGTTTTATTGAATACAAGTTTTGTTATGTATGATTCGTGAAATGTCGAATTGCATGAATATATGAAGACACATGCTTGTTTCATAACATAAAAAATTAATCACGATTATCTGAACGAGTGTTTATTACGTATATTTTCAATCCCGATTAAGATTCGACAAACTAGCGATAATCCAGATGTTATAACTTGCATCTCTTTCATATCTTGCTCTTTAGCGAGGATATTGCGAAAGCAAAGAATACTGACATTATCACGAAATGATTCGTATGTGAGGTAAGATGAAAAAGACCCTCTGCAACGACTCCATGCGATGAGCTGCACGTAAATATAAAAGGGTAACGAACGTTTATTCGTACCTCTGCGTGCCATATGCCCAGCGTGTACCGGGCTCAGTATCGCATCTTCCGTATCGCTCCTCAGAGTGACGATATTATCGAGACAAACTTTAAAACTCGGCCTGGCGTCCGCTACACTCCAGCAACGTAACATCAGTTGATGCAACGCCGGTGGACAGTTGAGGGGTCTTGGTAATCTGTTGCCCGCACTCACGTGATGCAACACTTCAAAGTTAGTCATGGCAGGATATGGTTGCTGACCCAACGTCGTGATCTCCCACATTAACACTCCGAACGCCCAGACGTCGCTCTGCGAGGTGAACACTCCGTCCACCAGGGATTCCGGGGGCATCCAGCGAACAGGAAGCAAGCCTTCTCCTTCCTGAAACGCCATTTCAATAAGTTCTCCTTTACTCTGAACGCTTGTTGAACATTGGGACGAGCTTGATCATCTCATATTCGAAATCCGAATATATCTATACCTTGCGATAATAATCGTTCTTGTAAATATCTCTAGCTAGTCCAAAGTCGCCGATTTTCACGACACGACTCTCACGATCCCTCGCGGACACCAAGCAATTTCGACACGCGAGGTCTCTGTGCACAAAATGCAGCTCCTCCAAATAACGACAGCCCCGTGCGACATCCTCGCACATGGCGAGCAAGTCTTGTAGACGTAGAGCATGCGTGTCTGTGGATTGCAAGGACCGACTGTCTCTCAGATAGCTTAACAAATCACCAGCCTCCATCAATTCCAACACGAGCAACGGCGGATCCGTGTCCAAGCAAACTCCCAGCAGCCTTAGCACGTGCTTGTGTCTAAAGTGGCTCATTAATTTGGCCTCTTGTAAAAATTCCGTTTTCTCTTGCGACGAGGCACCCTCTCGTAATGTCTTAATGGCGACGGGCGTTATGCCCGATCCTTCCAAATCCTTCGCTTTTCCCTGGTATACCTAAAAAATACTTGTTGTATGTGTCAGAGTCCAAATATTAAATGGAAAGTTTGGGAATTGAAAGGAAAAGTCCTCATTAGATATTTGCACAGAGAAAACTATCATGATTGTTGTTACAATTATATTCTCTATAGCTACACAGAAAAACCAGCATGATTAGCCTACACATATAAATCTGGTTATGCCAACCAGATGCCACAATAATAAAATACGAAACAACTATTATACTAATATAACCATTATATTATACTATATTGCAATAATGCAATAATGGTTATATTAGTATAATATATATATATATATATATATATATATATATATATATATATATATATATATATATATATATTATACTAATATAACCATTATTGCATCTAGAAGTGTCATATAGTTACATATCCTGCAAATTCAAACTAATCATCGTCTCTTATTATGAAAAAATACGGAGAGAATGTCGTATATCGAGCGAATAGGTAGTTATGGATAACGCGTGTATGAAGATGTTTCTTTACAATTTTCGATAAGTCCGTATTTCGGAATATGATATTATTATATATACAATTCTTATTTAAAAGTTAACTGTTTGTTTAATTGCTTTGAAGAAAAATACATGTAAATGTATAGAAAATACGTGTCTCGTATTTTGATCTAACTTTGATCACCTAGACGTTAATAGAAATGGATATTACATATGATACTTTTCATCTCGCGTTATCTCCTCGAAGTTGCGAGTGACGATTTAATGACGGAATAAATTAGCTCATTGTTAAAAGCAAAGGAATACCGTCTGAGGAATGTGGTGATGAAAATACCTTTCCGAACGCGCCACTCCCCAAGAACTTTGCCAGTGTAATTTGCTCCCGTCTGATTTTCGGCAGCACGGAATCATCTGGATCGTTCTGCAGTGTAGAAGCGTAGAGAGCGTTGGATTGGACGAAATTACCGCGAGGTATCTCACGAAGAGTCGCTAACTCGACATCGGACACTATCGGAGGTAGAACTGCTTTTTTGTCTTCTTTGCGTTGTCTATACACTGCTGGATAACGTTACGATATTTTTGTCTAATATTACACATTGTGTAAAATATTTGCATTACTTTCTATGAGGAATTCAAGCTTATTTCAAAAGGCAATTATCGTCCGAATTATCGATTATTTCGCTCAATTTCAATTAGAACTACTGGTCTGAAGCTTCGCAACAAATATACTTACGGCAGATGAAGTAGCAGAGGCACAGCAGCATTAAAGTAATGACAACCACACTGAGACCCAACACCAATCCTAAATGTTGCTGCGCAGCTAAAATTCCTCCAATAGATTCTGTCAAGTCCACGACTGCGCTCGGTCTACTCCAATCACCGAATCCGTAAGCATTTTTAGCTTGCACGCGAAATCGATATTTGTGATCCATATTCCCGGTAATTATCCAATAACTATCCGTGCCATTGTGATATAAAGTCCAGCTTTCGTTTATTTCGGCTTTATTGTCTTGCTTGTAATTATCGTCAATGATCAAACCTTCCACTATGTATAAAGTAACCGGCGAGCCATGAGCTTGCGCGGGTTCCCAATTTAATTGGTATACAGAATTACGAAGCCTCGTTAACGTAGGTATTCCAGGAGCACTCGGAACATCACCTGTATATACATACATACATACATACACACACACACACACACACACACACACACACACACACACACACACATATATATGTATGTATGTATGTATGTATGTATATAAATTAATTATACGTTATATTAATTGTCAATTGAACGGCCCTTAATTGAATTCAAAAACTATTGTCAATTAAACGCTCTTTTATTAATTTTGCTCGAATCAATTGTCAATTAATTGAATTGAAATTTGTTATATTAGATCAATTATTAAATTAAGAAAAGCTTGATGAATATTTTAGCAATTCTGATTTCCATATTTGTGACAAGCATATCGTATAAATATCATATGATATAAAAAGTCTCGATTCACTTACCAATAGTTTCAAACGTAAATCCTCCGTCGGACGGCCATACAACGTCCTTCTTATACGCTGGATACTTTAATATCAAGCGAAATTTGTACGTAGTACGCGGCTGCATATCTTCTATATGATACGTCACTATGTCCTTCTCCACCTCGGCGTTATTCGCGGTTTGCCAGTTTTCCGACCCAATGTCTCTGTACTCCAACACATAACCGATCGTCAGATTGACATTCGGAATCCAAGAGACGTTCAGGCTATTGACGCCGGCTCCGCTAAGCGTGAGATTGTTAGGCTCCGGGTACATCTGCACGTTTTTCATGTCACTCCGGTTGTAAAACTCGTTGGAGTGAACGGAATATACGCGCACATACACCGCATACTCTTGTCCAGGCAGCAACGACTCCAGCATTGTGTAAAACCTACCGTCTGCGGTACGCTCCGGCTCCTTAAACAATTCTTCGCTCTTTTGTCGCGTGCCGTTCAAGTCAGACGATTTCCAATGAACCTCATAATTCACCGCTGCGGAATTCAATATCTTAGGTGGCATCCAATATACTGCCGCCAAGGTCGGCGTCAACGCTTCGACAGTGACGTTTTCCGGTACACTGGGATTTCCTGGTCCAGTCCTGAGCACCACTCCCAAGTCGAAATTCAGACTCGTCGATGTCAATTCGGTGTAGTAATTGCTCAGAGCCAACTTTAATCTGTACTCGGTAAACGGCTTCAAGTTCCGAATCTCATATTTCGGATCTCGTTGCTCATATGTTTGTACTTTGTCCATCCTTTCGTGACTCTTACACTCATCAGAATCGTTATCCAAATACTCAGACACGCAAATGGTGTACAATGTGGTGGGCAGACTGTATCTCTCGCAGCCGTGATTAGGAATTGGTTCCGGAAGCTTCACGGTGATACTGTTTCCAGTTTCTGTCAGCCTCTCAACTTTATAGATCACTCGGCACGGTATCAGACAGTTCGCGATAGGATATGGTTGTAACGATTTACCAAAGGCTTTAATGCTACGCATACTAGACAAATAGAAACTCTTCACTTCCGGTTCAGATGCGTTTCCTTTGCTCACGGATAAAAAATATCCTTTTCTGGAAAAGTAGATTTGATCATTCTGTGCGTCGGACCAATAAACGTTCATCTTGTCCACCGTAAGAGATGTTCCTTTGCTAGAACTCGCATTTAATACTGTCTTGCACATGCAACCGTAAATGTCGGCCACATTTAAGTATCCCTCCAACGACATCCAATACATCACCGGCTCCTGGATGTTGGTTTTGTCAATAGACATTACAGGTTTTACCGATAGGCTGTATGAGCAGGTGCACACTTTGGAGGAGTTACTTTCTCTGTTCCTGAAGAAGGGCACTACGTTATTTCCATCAAGGTCCGATTGCATTATTGTACCTCGATTATTTGTCGTCGACTCGATCCAATACAATAATCTGCAAGATGTAAGAAACGGTGCTGTGCTAAGTGCTACAAGTAATTATTCATATATTTACTCCATCCCATATATCTATTTGTTCCCACTTCGGGGATACTTGACACATGAGGCATGGTTCACTTAATTTTTTTTACTTAATTTCTAATACATCAGTTATTAGGGTTTGCCCTTATTATTAAGAATTGCTTATATGTTCAAATATATCTAATAAGTGATATAAACTACACTTTTTCAATAGATGAGTTTGGAAGTACAAAGCATATCCGAAAACTAAAGATACATCGCATCTAAAAGTGACATTTTTTTAATCAGTGGTGGCTAAATTAACTTTAATCATTTCGCTTTTGTCTAGCAATACAAGGATAGATTTTCTCGAGCTAGTAGTGAGTGACTAGTGTTTAGAACGACGGCGTCTAACCCAACCTAACCTAATCTAAGGGTGGCGTCTATTCAAAATTCCGCCAAATATAGAGTTCATTCCATGATACACTTTCCCGACACAAAAGGTCGGGACCGCCTGCTCAAAGATTCACACACAAATTACTGCTGTTTATATTGTCTGTCTACTGATTCACGTCAATGCACGATCTCACATGCCGTGAGCGTGTCTCACCACTACGCTGAACAGTTTCAAATATAATGTTTTGGATTTTTTATCGGATATAGTTCAGCCTTCACTCTAAACGATTTTCACTTGTTTCTTTATTTAAAGAGACATCTAACTGAGAAAAAATTCGACAACAGTGATGAAGTGAAAGAGAAGGTCATGACGTGCTTCAAAAGATTGGTGAAAGACTTGTATGACTCGGAGAAGTTAGTTTCCAAACTCGATAAATGTTTGGCGAAGACTATGTGGAAAAATAAAAATATACATATATGTATGTCTAGGTATAGCTTCACGGCCTCCTAGAGGCCGTGAAAGCCTCAAATCTAGTATATATGTATGTGTGTATGTATAAGTTTCAATGAAAATATTGTAAATAAATGTTTTTTTATGTATTTAAGGCTTTTGTATCTTTAGTTTCTAAACATGCCTTGTACATGAACTTTTACCTACCCTCGAGACGGCAGTACGTCTAAATTTAAAATATTTTTCCCTCTGTTTACAATATTCTCGTACTTGACTATACCAACTTGCCACATTGTCAAATCTAGCTTCATGATATAGCCGCCGCTTCCTTTGGACTCAGACCAGTATAAATTTCTCGCAACCCAGTCGACACAAAGGCTCCGCGCAGTATTGTTTAGCTCGAGTATCTTCGTAGCGTTAGCTCCGTTCATCTCCGACGTTACTAATTCCTGCATGTCGTTAATCCAGTAGATTTTGTTTTCCAAATAACTGACCTCGATCGCGATATGTCGGGTAATCGTGTAGTTAATCTTTTGATCCAAATCCGCAAGCTTAACGGCATCCATTGTGGCGACCAAGACTTGAGGTACTGGATTTTCGTACGCGGTCGATATACTAATAAAGTCCGTATAAGAACCGGCACCGATCTCGGTGTGCGCTTGTACTTGGAAATAGTACGTCGTATTGGGCAACATCCTATACACTGTAAACTCCAATATTGTAGCTGGCACGCTATGATTGTGAAAAGTTTCGATCTCCTGATTCTTGTTGACCTTATTCCACTGAACCGTATATCCCAATATCAGTCCGTTTGTAAATTCTGGTTCATTCCATCTGTGAAAGAAATAATATGTCGCGAAGTTCAGACTTACTATTAAGCTACATGGATATATATAATGTAGGTATGTATATATACATGCACATATGTGTAGGTGTGTGTATAATAGTTTTTTTATATAAATTCTTTTTAATTTTGCTATGTTTCTAGTAGTGTAAGAGAGTATAGACTGTCAGTAAAGTCTCTTTTGCTGAAGAACGTAGCAAATTTCGCTAGAAACAATCAATTTTATACTTTTAATCCTCTTTTTAAATATAATTAGCATATATGAAATAAAAAAATAGGCAATTATTGCAGAATATCGATTTATTCATCGATTATAAAATTCTATAGCAATTTTCATTATAAAATTCTGTCCGTATATAGACCAACAAGAAAATGTAAACAAAGATTCTTCCAAATTTCTCACCTAAATGTCACAAAAATGTCTACGTTTTCGCTTAGAACTTTTTTGTAAAATTCCACGTATGCCCTGGGATACATTGGCTGAGTCGGCAAACTTTGAGGAGATCTTAAGATTTTCCGGGAACGATGAGCAGTTTCCCAGTAAGTAAATGCCTTTACAGTGACTTCCAATACGGAATAAGGCAAGATCCGGTCCGAATTGTTGTAAGGCATCGTCGTTTCGATCGTGATTTCCGAGTTTGAATTTGTATTGATGTAATCCACAAACTTTACTTCGTAAAAGACTGTGCCGTAATTGATGTTCTTCACGGGATCCCAGGATATGTTAAAGTTTCTCCAGGTCCCTTCTACTCTTATACTATCAAAATCGACAGCATTCGGCGACACCACGATATTCTCCGATGTCAAATTTTTGGGGTATCGGTGAAAAGCGGGATCCATGACAGCTACCATGTGCAAACCGGACAAAGTGATACCGTTAATCACGGCAGTATTCTGACCCGACAGATCACCAATCACTGCGTTCACATCGTCCTGTAGCCACAGCAAATGTTCGGAGAAATAGCACAGAGGTCCTTGCAGGTTTGGAACATGTAAAGCGGACACCTTGAATCGAATTAATTCTTTATGTCATTATATGTAACATACAAACTGCGTGCGTGCTTGTTAGACAATAATATACTATATTACTCGTGCATTGGCAATCGCAATCGTATGTAGAATTTGCGATCTTAGCGCGTTTTTGCCTATAAGTGTAGAATACGAATCGTATTGTGTGCACGCCAAATTATAGTATTATTTATAAAAATTAATTAAATACATAAAAGAAGTAACCTTTTCCGGGACGATCTTTTGATTCATTGGAATTTTTTCGGAAGTGGGTGCTCGATAGACGATAGACCCGCTTACGTAGCTACGAACAATCCAATAAACATATCTATTTTCGGTGTCAAGCGTTAATCCCATCACTTGTTTGCCGTTAAAAATTTCGTCCGAGTGATAGTATCTCCTATCCTGTCCATTTAGTCGCGCAACTTCTACAGCATGCCCGGTTGACCAATACAGATACGCCTCCAGTGAATCGATCGTGAGCTCTTTTACAATCGCCAGAATTGACATCGGCTCTTGCTCGGACCCGTTCAAATTCGCTCTCGTTATCTGCAAAATCATGGCGTGATAATATCTCGCAAAGTGTATCTTTGCAAATATGTGCAAAGAACTGGAAGGAATACCGTTGAATCAGTACACGGAGAAAAAATGTTTGATACACTATATAACCATATAGAAAAATAATTATTATAAATTATAGTTAAGAAAACTATTCCTTTTTATTAAATTCTATTTTAAATATGCATGTTATCGTTACCATTACTATTTTCATGTTAAAACAACCAAAAATATGGTTAAAGCCAAAAAATAACTATAATTTCAGTTAAATTCACCATTTTCTTTCTTTGTATTCAGGATTCGTATGTAGGATTCGTCAATAATGCGCTACAATTGGAATAAATCCTCTTGACTCAGTAGCAATATTATTATCAAAAGTAACACACTATACATTGTTTTAATAACTCGACCCACACGATACGCATATCTGAAAAACGTCCAAGACATCCAAGTTTCAAAGACGTCCAAGAGACACCCTATTTTTTTAGACGTCTTTTGAAGGTATCTTTAAGGACAGTATTCATAATTTTACATTTAAAATCATCTTAAGTTTATCTTCAGATATTTCGTAGTTAATGGAACGATCAAAACAGCATCTGGAGATGAACTTAAGACGATCTTAAATGTAAGAATACCGGCCTAAAACATTTTTAAGATATGCGTGTTGTGTGGGGAGTGTTAATTTCAATAACAACGCTATTTAATCAAAGCTATTTATTCTAATTACAGAATTATTAATTCTGTAACCGCTTCTATTGATTCAACGGCACTTTTCCGTGTGATAAATAATGCTCGAGCAGCACAAAGCATTGGGCCAGTATTGAATCTACAGTGGCCAATCTCGTTGGCCAACTAATATGCTATTAAGGTCGTTACATATTAAGTGCGTTCGGGACGCGCGTTGTCAACGTTAATATTGACATTATATCTTTATCGCTCTTTAGATATATAATAGCATAGATAGAATTATGCGCTAAATAGCGCTGATTGTCCTCCCCGAACGCACCTATAAGGTTTGTGTCAACCTGCCACAAGCCGTGGGTTTTTTCGGAACAAAGATCGCAGGTTACCTGAGAGGTGCCTATCCACATTCGTTGTAAATAACATTTATATTATTTTCAAACGTGGTCCCACCTCCTGTTGATTCTGCGGAAAACGGTAAGCACCCAGCTCAAAAAATCCGATAAAGATTGATACAAAATATATGCACATTTCATTGAAATACTATATAAATGACTTTGTCTGAATTTATCATTTCTATTGGAAACTTTAATTTCTCACATTTTAGCTTAGATAAAAAGGTTATCCATTTTTCTTCGTTTTATATCGCACATGCAAATTTACTTTTAATAATTAAATATATTTAATATATTTAATAATTAAATATATTATGCTAAACAATTAAATCCGAATACATTCTATATAATTTTATCACTTTTAACCAAAAACATGATTCAGTGTTATATAGATTTTTCTTGTGTAATTCTATTAAATCTTTTAAACAAGGCACTGTTCTAGGAAAGGGAAAAGAAAGATGGAAGAAATATGGCGCCCCATCACTCTATCCTTTACATAATAAAGTTGCTTTACAAAATAAAGTCGCTCAGCACATCTCAGGTATCCGCGATTACTGAAAGATTAGAGACGATTAGTAATATTTGTGGTATTTATTACAATTTGTTGTTTTGGGTTCGCCCAATACAGCTTCTTCGAGATCCAATCCACAGCAACGCTCCCCACCGAATGTATATTGAGCTTTGTTTTCTGATGATTACTGATGTTATAACGATATAGCGCGGAATTATTTCCTACTATGTATAACACATCCTTGTACCAACTAACGTCGACAATATGAAATTCACTCCCGGCTTCCTTCAGGCTCGCTTTATAAATAAGCGTGTCTATATTCTCACCAGTTACGTCGCTTTTCAAGAGCCCTTCATTCGATGACCATAAGATAGTCGTGCGCGAGCCATTCCTGAATGACAGATTTCATTGTAAACATAATGTAACGGTTTGACGTTGAACAAACAATGCGATGATCTTACAGAGAAGCAACATTAAAAAGTTTCGTTTCACTGATTATCTGAATCGCAAAGCCCAAGTGCCATATGTTTCTACACAACTGCTAATCGGTACGTGATATTTTGGTAAATTGTCGTTGTGTCTCAAGGGGCATTAACGCAATATTGCGTCAAATGCATTTTTTTTCGCAAATCGTTTTTGCAATTTTTATAAAAGTGTATATATAGGATTTCTCTGAATCGCGGAATACAAATCTGACAAATTCAAGATGGCGGATATAAATCGGTCAAAATTGACAAATTCAAGATGGCGAATCCAATATGGCGGACAAAAATGTCACATATTTCGAAAATTGATTTATTTGATTAAAACCTGGTATCCAGGGCTTTTTTGGGTTGCGGAATACGAATCTATGATTTTAATAAGTTCAAAACGTCGTATTCAATATGACGAGCAAAAATATCATATGAACGAAAAATGGACTTATGTAACATTTTGTCCGCCATATTGGATCTACCATTTTCAATTTGACAATTTTGACTACGTATTCGTATTCTGCGATCCAAAAAATCCTTGGATACAGAATTTCATAAAAATCAAAGAATATTTTTTTCTTGCTTCCTGGAGCACATTCAATCAAAATCTATTTGTCGCTTAAGAGGTTAATAAAGTATTTTTTTATCTCATGTATATAGCTACAACATCAAACTAATTCAAGCTAATTATAAAGTGTGTGACTATTTGTACTTAGGGTAATTATATTATAAGTTATAACTTTATAACATATCACTTATGCACACACAAAACAGCGACTTTCGATATATCGAACGTCAATGTTGCCTCTCTGTAAATCTAGGGATTTAGAAATAACCATGCTGTGGTTTTTTTTTAGCTAAATATAATTATTATTGCACATAATTACCTCAGAGTTCGTCCTCTGAATTCCGTGGACCATGGCCCTCTACCGGCGCTCGTATAGGCCGCCACTCTGATATAATATTGCGAACTTTCTCGCAAATTAGAGACAGTGTGAGACGATCCGACAATGTTTCTATGATGTATAGCTTGACTAGACGAATAGTTGGATATTTCTTCTCTAATCTCAAGCTCGTAGGACCAATTCTGCCAAGCGCCTTTCCCTTGACCGCCTAACAAATGAGGAGCTTGCCAAGAAACCTTAGCCCTTTCCGCTCCTAGAACGGCCTGCACTCCCGTGGGAGGATTCACAGGAATAGGAACTGGCTGGCTCGCATTCATCAATACGTTTACGCTGATGAAGGTGTCTGACCTGAACGAGCAAATTTCAATGCCCAGTCGATTACAGGCTCGAAGAGAAAATCTTGCGGAAGTGAGAAGATTAGGTTATTTATACCTGACTGGATACACGTTGTGAAAGTATAAATTGTGACCGGAATGGTATCCTTCGTTAAAAACTTCTTGACCGTTAGTCCAGTAAAACAATTTATTCGCCATAGCTAAGGAAACAACATGTTTAAATTGCGGTTTTTGCGTATTAGCGCGAATATTAGCACTTTCGCGACCATCCAGTGACATAGACATTACGGTATTGAGGGTATGATTTGGCACGAGTAGCCGGAAACTCATGTGATCCACGGTGAATGCACTCATATTCGAATCGCCGTAAATGAAGGATGGTTTAACCTAAAAAGAAATAAAAAAGAAAGTAATATCGTCGAAATTGTGATAAGCATTACCGACGAAATAATACTGAAAATCATTGGCCTTTTGTGGAATTAGCGTAACAGAAAATTTTGCTACTTAATAACCTCGTGTCGAGCATAAATTTTTTGTAAAATAGATGATAACTGCAAAAATGCAGTTTCATAATACTATATTATCCTGCGTGCATAACAATAAAACATCAAGATAGTTGTAAATTATAAAAT